GGGGGGGGGGGGGGGGGTGAGGGGAGATGACACAAACTGCAAAATGTACAGGTGAATACATGCTTGTTGAATTTTTGGATAACAGATTTGCTAAGCGACGACCGGAGAGAGGCTGATACCAAAATCTAATAATTTACGATGAAAACGATGCTTTTTTCACATGAATTAATAGGTGGATTATGTGCAAAATTTGACGCCATTGGGGAAAATGGGAAGTCACCAAATGTAGCTATATATATATATATATATATATATATATATATATATATATATATATATATATATATATATATATATATATATATATATATATATATATATATATATATATATATATATATGCATATGTAGAATTATTTATATTTCTCTCTATGTATATATATAATGAAGTTTTGCTTGTTTGTTTGTGGGTTTGTTTATGTCCTCTATGCAGCACTACACCTTTCATCCTATGGCCATGCAACTTAAGTTAAGAATACCACTGGATATATTTCACAAGCACGGTGCCCCAGCAGGGCGCGAATCGATTCTATATATAGATCCCTATATAGGGTATATATACGTAAAAGTAGATTGCGGTTTAATCCCGTTCATCCGCTCGCCATAAAACTTCAGGGGAGGTTATTTTTTTTTAATTTTAACAGGGCGGCGCTTCTGGAGGGTGCAATTTTTCTCTACACAGTTTGTAAAAAACAAAACGGATGCTGTTTGACATCGTTTATCTGAGTGCCGTTAAACTTTCGAGAGTTAATGAAAACACTCACGAGAAGGTTTCTGCGAAAACAAAAATTAAAATTTATTGTGGGCGTTTCCCTGGAGGGTGCGATTTTTGTTAATAAACGGCTTGGCGCCTGAAAATCCAGGGCGGCGATATTAAAACTGCATGGGGGCTAAGGTAAAAAAGCAACAACAGGCGCAGCTGCCGGCGCCCCGGATATTACGTAACCCGAAGCGCACCGTGCTACCATTTGAACACTATGACGCCTACGTTCGTTTTTTTTTTAAATTTATACACTAAAGACACGATGGGCAACAATAATTTTTGACTATATGGAATCAGGCGCGTCTGCCGGCTCCCCGGCAGGAAGCGATTTGGCGCCCTGAGATATCCTAAGGTTGGGTTAAAGAGCACTCTACAATATTGACCCTGTGGCACACGACATTCGATGACAATTCGTTTGACCCGATGCGCCACTGGCTTCGGGAGGAACACTATGAGTTTTAAAAGAGCGCCCTACAGTAGGGAAATTTTTTGTCTACTGCACCACTGGCGTGTGGTCTAGCGCCCCTGTGTGGGTCCCTCATAAACACTATTGCGCCTACGTTCGTTTTAAAGAGTGCGATACATTATGGATACAATGGGCTACTGTGTGCGGTAGAATTTGCGCCTCAACAACTATGATGAAAGCAATATAACACCGGCTTTGATTACATTTAAATTGTTTAGATTTAGAAATCAATGTCAAGCGTAAAAAAATACGTGATTGCTAATGTTATTATGGAACCCTCTTAAAATATTGCGTCAGTCTGTCTTCTGAGACCGCAGCAACGCGCGGGACGGGTACGCTGGTTTAATATATATTTCTTCTATATAAATAATTCTCTTCATGGATACCATAGAAAACACCAAGCTGTAAGCGCCCCTAGCAGCCCCCTCTCTTTCTCTCTATCCCTACCACCCCCATCCCTACATGGTCTGGTGAGCTGTGGTTCAAGCTAAATGTTTACAATCGTAGAGCCGGGTTTAGTGACAGCTATTAGGGGCAGATAATTTAGTTTGAAACGATTTTAAACTTAGTGGAGGTAACTCAGAGGGGGCTGCTTTCACGAGGAGGGGGGGGGGGTAGGATTTTTGGGAAAGGAGGGTGGGGAGGGGGGGGGTTATCGTCCTTAAGGAGCTACTGATAGTGTTTTAAAGCAAATATTTTCAGTGGCAGCATTGTTACTGTCAAATTCACAAATTATGAATTACTAAAAAGTAGAAAATGAAACAACAAAATAGCGGCGTATGATAGCGGCTGAAATTTTGCGCTGCTTTAATTTTTAATTATTATATTAATAATTATATTATATAATATTATTATATATTATATAATATTATATTAAACCGGGAGTGATCTCCCCTAAACTTTCTCGAATATTCTAATATAACACTACGGGGAATGGCAACTCGGGATATAGACATGATTTTTAATCCATTTTAAATACTTAAACTTTTTAAAATAGAATAAAACCTCGTAGAAAAAAGAATTGCACACCAAGTGAACGTCAAATAAAGATGTGCATAAAAGTGCGCAACATTATTAGTACTTTATAAATTTACGTGCGTTTTTTGAGAAATCGGAAATAGCGTAAATTAATACTTCCTGTCAACAGAAATTACTTAAAATTTGACAGAAGGTAGAGAATTAGATCTTTTACTTACATGTGAAATTTCATTTATCTATCTGCAATAGTACTCAAGTTATAGGCTTTTGAAAAATTCAAAGTAGAAAAAGTACCACTTTCGGTTATCGGAAATCACTCAAAAGTTTATACGGATCTATGATTTTGATAAAATACTTATATATGAAATTTCATCAACCTAGCTGTATCGGTACTCAAGTAATCGTGTTTACACACAGACACACACAGACACAGACATACGGACAAGATTGCAAAATTATGTTTTTCCGTATCAGTGAGGTGTAAAACGTCGAGATTTGTAAAAAATCTCGATTTTTTTTTTTTGCACGATTACAAGACTTTCTCTATACTTCGTATATACGAGAAAGTAAAAATGCAGTTTCAGGGGAACGGCGGAGGGGGTTATGTGTTGAGGTGTAGTGTTTTTAAAGAGAGTGGTGGGGGGGGGGGGGGAGCGAAGATCTGGCTTTTTGTGAAAATTTGTTACAATTAGAGAAGGGGGGTTTGGTGCAAAATCGTCTGAAGAGTGAGTCGTGGTTAATGGGTGACCACTTTATGATTGTATATTGACGTCACCATCATTTTGGGCGGTGGCTTTATGTGACGATATGTAACGAGAAAAAAGAGGGTTGAGTTAATGGCGTAGCATTTATTTTGCATTTTTTAAGGATACAAATAATAAAAACACTGCTTATTTTGTTTTACATGTGTGACGACATTGTGTTAACCAAATGTATTGAATAGTAGGACTTACAGATTATTAGTTCTCTCCCCCCCCTGAAGCAATTACCCCCTGTCATTTACCCCCCCCCCCCCCCCCCCGCCAAGGAGGACATCTCTCCCCCCCCCCCCCACGCACACACCTCTTAAGGTACAGCTGGGGTTAGGGTTATGGTTAGGGTTACGGCTAGGGTTAGGGTTTGGGTTAGCGTTAGGGCTAGGGTTAGAGTTAGGGTTAGCGTTCTGGCTAAGGTTAAGATTATGGTTAGGGTTACGGCTAGGGTTAGGATTAGGGTTAGGGCTAGGGTTAGAGTTAGGGCTAGAGTTAGAGTTTGGGCTAGGGCTAGCGTTTGTGCTAAGGTTAGGGTTATGGTTAGCGTTAGAGTTAGAGTTAGGGCTAGGGTTAGAGTTAGGGCTAGAGTTAGGGTTAGCGTTCGGGCTAAGGTTAGGGTTAGCGTTAGGGCTAAGGTTAGGGCTAGGGTTAGATTCAGAATGAGAGTTAGTGTTATGGTCAGGGTTAGGATTAAGGCTAGGATTAGGGTTAGTGTTATGGTCAAGGTTAGGCTGAAACCTAAGTCTAGAGTTGGTTTTGGTTATGTGTTAAGTTTTAGGCTGAGGTGAATGCTTAGGGTTTGGTCATTTTTTTATCGATTAGGATTAAGGAAATACATAGGTATAGAGTTTGAGTTAGGATCATAACTTGAGGCCGGGGGGGGGATTCTCCAGGGGGGTTATTGACAAGGGGTAATTGCCCCGGGGGGTAAATACGGGAGGGGGGGTCTCCTCCGGGGGGGGGGGGTAATTGACGGGGTGGGGGTAATGTCATGTAGCCAGGTCCACTATTAGAAAGCCAAGATTCCAAACTGTGTAGCCTTATGTATGTAGGTAATCTAATCTTATACAAGTTCTTGAAAGCAACATCAAAGACGAGAAATAAAAAGAGCCATCGTTGTCGGCTTATTTAACAGGGAAGTCTTAGTCTAAATCAATCCACGACAATGTCTTTAAGACAATAAACCTTAACTTTGCTTGAAATAACAATATCGTTCTTCATTCAGTCAAACTCAACATTATGGCTTCACTGAACTTTGTCATTGAAATGCATGTGTAGTTTGAAATGCATGTCTGTTAAAATTGTACAGTTGATACCGAATATATCCAGCCTTTTTCTTCTTCGTTCAGCTGCTTTTCTTTCTGGATTTCTTTTCTTATCTTTTGTCAATCCAAGAACAAGTGTTGTATCCCCAAGATAGGTTGCTATCCCCAACTATAGAGCCTCATCTACACGGGAGATTGAACTCGGAACTTCTCGGTTTAGCAACCACGAACTTTACAAGTTCTTGATTTTGGTATTGGCGTGTCAGTTTTCTTCTTTATTTAGTCGACATCTAAAGTTAAACAAAAACAGTTGCCTACCTCAGCAAAAATCAATGTAGGCCAATTATGGCCAGTGTAGCAATTAGCAACATCAAAGTTGATTTGAATTCCATGCAACACTCATTCCATACTTCTCTAGTGTGGAGGTCTTGCTTATTAATATTATCCTGTTTGTTTGACACTTTTCTTTAACTTAATAATATTAACCATAGACACTTTTTGCCTGGAGTACAAACTGGGTCACAGTATTCTCTGGTAAACAATTAAGTTCTTTTCCAAATATATGCTCAGCTAATAGAAACAGCATTCCTAGATTATTTTTTTTTGTTTGTTTTTTTTTTAAAGGGCTTCAGCTGTTTTAATGTCAACTTGTGCTGGGAATACTATAACTACATACAACCCTTTTCAGCTTTCAATCACTTGCATCTTATGTACAAAGTATGAAAACCAAAAACATCAAATTTTGAGAAATAATTTATTTATGAAACAACTGCATATAATTATAAAGCCAAACATTAATATATCAAGATTATTGCAATTATCACCATTTGCAGATTCTTGTTTAACTATGGTAGATGGAAGTATTAGTTGCCTTTAACATCACTTTTCACTTCCTGAAACAAAACAAAAAGATTTTCTTAATCATCCATCTGAAATAATAAAATGAGCAAAAAAAAAAAATCTTTAGTTTAAATTAGTTTAATACATCAAAACAAAACAAGAAAAAAGTGATTGAATGAGATGAATCATGGCATAGATATCTATAAAATTTTGCTTTAGTGATAAAGGGGGAAAAATTTAAGTTATTTTAAGTGAAACATAAGCTAGAGAAATAAACTATTAGGCCTAATTTAAATAATTTAATTCCTTTCTCCCAAAACACTACATGTATCCTTAAAAAAAGAAAACTTAAAATGTATCAATATTTACCTTGTGTATAAACTCTTCTGTACATCTACTGTATCAGCTTGACGCTCATTAGGTATGCCTAGTTCCTGTTGAGCAGTTAAGACAGATTAAGTAAATAATTCAAATTTGTAAGACAAACCACTAAATGATACTGTTATATATATATATATATATATATATATATATATATATATATATATATATATATATATATATATATATATATATATATATATATATATATATCCTTCCTGCAAATCAGCATATTTTGCAAAACAAATATTTAAAAAAATACATAATGATATTGTATCAATCATCACCACTGACTTGGTTTTACTAGGTAAAATATTTTTTTAAATACAATATTTATACAAATAAAAATCTATCTCAATCAACATGTTCAAAATAAACCAAAGCAAACTTGTGATAACTTACCTGATTAATGTTTGAGAGGATTCACCCAGTTCTCGCCACTGAAGCAGATTAGATGCATGTGTTATTACACTTGTGATATACTGATTGCCATTTTGTGTACTTTTAGTCCTGGAGATCTATGTTGTAGGCATAGACTGTTAAACCTGGATAGTAATATTATAGAAGTAAATTATATCTAGTATAATATAAATATTTTAAAATATAAATGACACTAAATTATATTTATCATTATTGGAAATAAAAATGGTACAATTAAGTTATAAAAAAACAAATTATAAAATTTAAAGCAGCTTATTAATAATTGTCATACCTTTTCCTACTTTTATGTCAAATGTAAGAGGTAATAGAGAAAGAACATCTTGTGTCATTTAGTATGCTGTAGTCTTATTACTGGTAAAAATCAGATCTTCCCTTTTTTTTTGGATGAACCTGTAAAAGAGAAATTACAACATGGATATCATATCTAATCCTCAACTAGTTATCACCCCAATCCTAACCTCATTTTTTAAAACCAATTTCTAAATATGTTTTCAGAACAAATGTATGTTAAGTCTACCTATTTTAATGTTCAGAATACTAATATTTATCAAAACTACCTCCAGTTGAAATTCAAGATACCTTTATAAAAAGTTATTATGACTTTAACTTTGTGTAGTTGTTATTTAGGCTATTTGTTTAATTTATATTATTTAAATTAATATTTCATGCCTTGTTTTAAAAAGATCTGCAAGTCTAGTTTTGATTTTATGGTATAATCTGATAAAAATTAGGCTGCTACATCTGAAAACTAAGGTCAATGCAAAGACTTCCAAATTAACGATAAGTAGGCTTGTATAGATATTGTATATAATTACTAGCCCAATAGTATTACTCTACGACCAATGTATAGGACTTAATGTATCAGACCTAATTCCTATAATTAGGCCTACTAATTATTAAATAATTAATAGATCTAACACTAACAGTAGGATAATTACAATTATGAGCCTTAGCTGACATAGAGAGCTGAATACTTAACTAAACATTTTTAAAAATTATAGTAAGCTAAGTGAGTTGAATTATTTTATTTAGATAGGCCTAGGCTATAATATAATCTATAGCAGTCTATAGTGATAGTCGCAGAGTAGCGTATATCATAATAATTTCAAATTAAATCTATAAGCAACATTAAGCCTCTGCCTTGTTGCCTAATTAAAAACTAAAGCCTATTAAGCCTTTTCCTAATAAGCCTTTGGCCTAATTTAAATAACAGCCTATAGGCCCTATAATATATAAATAGGCTAAACTACTTGTAAGACCTAATAGACTAATGACTAAGAGAGTGCTAGGCCCCTTTCCGATATTATATAATAATTGCTTGATCGATATCATAATATCTAACACTGATTACATTAATTTACATAAGGCTATACCATCTTAACTATGACTAATACTTTTTCTACTAATAAAATAGGCTATCTCTAGTTTAAACTTAGGCCTAATAGTAATTAGTAATTATAATTAAGTAGGCCATTTTATGACATTTATAAAAATTTTAGTAGATGGCCGAGCCTTAAATTTAAATACTAAAATAGATTTAGCATACTATGCCTATTGTTGGTCTAATTAATAATTTATTTTTCATTTAGAATTTTAGATCTCCAAAAGATAGGCCTAGGTCCTAAATAAATTATTTTTATTTTATTGAGCCCGCCTTAATGTATAAGATGTGATCTGCTTTTTTTATAAAAATAACCCTACACAATACTAGTGATTTAACTAATATCTAGTACTACTTTAGGCCTATTTAATTATTTATTAGTAGGCTGAATAAAATCTAAAGCTATAAGGCCTACTTTATTACTATATTTGCCTATTATTCTATAATTAATTTATGTTTTCTTTCAATACATAGTTAGATCCTGTAGATCAACATTCTAGTGCCTCGACATACCAGATTTTTTTAAATACGAGCAGTTGAGCGAGTAATATTTCACTTTGAGTTACGCGCAAAATTTGAGATACCGTATTTCACAGTTCATGTAAAAGAAATACCCCCAAAAAGATGCAAATGATTATTTATCGCAGCTATTTAATTATAATAATAAGCGTCTTACTCATATTTGCAGCATTATGAAAGGGAGAAAGAAATAAACTTCCTAAACAAGTTTTATTTTAAGCTACCAGCACATGAAAGTGACTTAAATTAAGCATGGCAAAAAAGAAGAGAAAAGCTGTCACGAAAATTAAGCTAACGTAATAATTTTATTTAGTATTTATTTAGGCCTTACGTTTAAGTCTTAAGTGCAACAATGCTCAGTGAATTTTAGCCATTAATGGCATTAAGTTTAGGAATGATGTGTACTTGTGTAGCTTTAACTTTAGTATATTTTTAGTATATTTTTAGACCTAACTAAGCCTAATCTTGTAGATATAGATCTACAAACAATTTGAAATAGAAGAGATTTAAAATTGAGTCGATCTAGACTTCTAGATCTAGATCCTAAATGCTAAAGGACAGCTATGCCACAGAAATAATTATCTTTCTATCTAGTCAATCTAGACTAGATCTAGATCTAGCTAGTGCTACTGAAAAATTACTAGATTTTCTAGATCTAGATTTCTAGATCTAGATCTAGATTCTAAATTCTATCATTTACTTTCGACGCACTAGGCATACTTTTAACTTTTTCTCTCAGTCAATAATGTAGATTTCTAGATCTAAATGTAAATCCTGATCTTGTAGATTTGATTTACGTAGGTTTTACATCAGTGTAAAAATCGTTGATCAAGTAGATCTAGTCTAGATCTAGATCTGGACTAGATCTAGCTCTCGTCAAAACAAAATGGCTGGAATATTAGCTTCAAAACACCTACAGTTTATGCTTTCCTAATTGTGGAGAGCATGTTTATTTTCAACGACAGTGTTGACTGAGAAACCACCAAAGGGTTTTATTCTCAGCGACACAGTCGGAGAGAGGCTCAACGATTCTGTCGTTGAGATGATCCGCATGGGGTGGGGAATTCTATAAACATTCGAATGAGTCTAACACAATAACATTGGTTTACTACAAGATGTTCTATAAACTAGCTTAGTGTAAATTAACCAGAAATGCATGTATAATATCATAATGAGTTTTATAATTACCTATGCCTTATATTGACTTACACACCTCTATAAAGTCAAGCATTGTTTTAAGTTAAACTTTTAACCAAGTTTTAAAATAGCCGCTCCAAAATTAAGGTGTGATTCACATGCAAGGCAGGGCTAGAATAGATTTGATATTTGAAAATACTTCCTGCTGAAAAAATAATATTTTAGGAGAATGCTGAATGTAACATTCATCGACTATTATTTGTCACATCTCTAAGATAAAATATATGCACACATGTTAGTGTTTTAAAATTCGTAACCGTATAATATTTTAACAACACATAATTAGCTCGCTAAATGATCTCGTGTCGCTTTTTTAAAAATAAAACACTCCTCTTAAGTTATACTTCGTTTTCCGTATAATACTTTAACAACAATAAAACACTATATCCACAGTTTTTAAAATAAAAACATTATTCTTACATTTTAACAACACGTGAGATGGCCACATAGAATTGTCCATGTGAGAAACACGGTCTTTTAAAGTCTAGAACTAGTCCTACGTGAGAAAAACTGAGGAAGCTTTTAAAAATGTTGTCATCAAACTTTTTCCAATAATGTATTTTTTTAAATGTGTGACCTTGTTTCTCAGATCTCCCTTTATATAATTGTGTCGGCACTTTATTTCTTTGATATTATTAGTTACTGGAGACGCACCAACATGTGCAGTAAACAAACCTTTAGTTTACTCTGACTACCCTCATCAATGGTGAAGAAGAACACCCCAATTAAACGAATGTAGGGGCCATAGTGCTCATATGGGAGCCCGGGGCGCCGGAGGAGAACCCTATTGTATCGCGACTGATCCCGCTGTGCAGGTCATCCAATAGGCGGACCCCGTGTGCTAAGACAGGCACTGGGAAACTTTGGGCGCTCAACCACACATGTACGTGGGGCGCCGACACCACAATATTTAAACCATGTTAGGGCTATGATAGAAAACTTTGGGCGCTCAACCACACATGTACGTGGGGCGCCGACACCCCAATATTTAATCCATGTTAGGGCTATGATAGAAAACTTTGGGCGCTCAACCACACATGTACGTGGGGCGCCGACACCCCAATATTTAAACCATGCTAGGCCTATGATAGAAAACTTAGCGGGACTGTTGGTAAATAATTAGTGAATGGGTTCAAAGTAATATTGTATGTAGTGAATCGTTTACGTATAAACTGTTCCTGAGATAATTGTGACAGTCAAATTTACTCAGTCACATCATGGTTTACCTTACAAATCAGATAGTGAACCAGTGTGTTCTAATCTTCTTATGTATTGTTTAAAGCAGGGGTCTCCAAACTACGGCCCGCGGGCCGGATGCGGCCCGCGAAGTCCTCTCATCCGGCCCGCGGAGATCTTTTTGTCCACAGAAGAAACGTTTGTTGGTGATGGGCTGATGAACTTTGTCCAGAAAAAATCAAAGACATGCCTGGAAGCAACTGGCCCCCGTACTAAAATTTAATGGTTAATGCGGCCCTCGGATTGAAAAGTTTGGAGACCCCTGGTTTAAAGCTTAAAATAGTTGTTACTAATTCCGTTTTATGCGAAGGTGTCTCTATGAGGAAAAATGACCATTGCTAATGCTTGGCGGTTGCATGTTTTAATTAGCAGGATTGATGAGCTGACATATGTGGATCAGTTAGCATTCAGACGAATAATTGCATAATCGTATTTACAAAAGAAAAGTACAGTCGTTCAACATCATCAACAGTCCCTACAGTGGATTAAAACAAATTATGGTCATAATCCAGAGCATATTGAAAACCTATTGCGTTGTGTTATTTGTCATAGTTGGATCCGCTGGCGATGTGAAAAATGCAACAAAAAAAAACCTCTTTGTGTTGAACGACTTTGCTTTGGACAATTTCACTCCTAATCTGCACAGTGTACGCAGCTGAGTACACCCCTTTACCTTTTTGGCTATGTAAATGTTTCTGTATTTTTTGTAATAAATGTGCTAATCTACCCAATATGTCATACTAAATAACATTAAAATGTAATTTGTGCATGTAGTTTTCATTTGGGCTTTAATGGGTTAATCAGCTTTTGATATAACATAGTGTATATGCTTACAGCTGTTGTTATAACAAAACTTGTCGTTGTTGCATGAAACGGATGATTTTAGATACTGATGTCCGATAATAAAATAGGTGTGTTGGGTTGTTAGTAGTATTATAACCTCGACTAATGTTATGGTTAGAAAGTATGGTTAGGCATATGGTAGGGCTAGGGTTGGTGTTAGGGTTAGGGACAGGGTTAGCATTGACATTAGACAGCAATGTGTGTATTTAGTTAACTACCAGTAACCTAACATCACTTTTTTATGAAGATTCTATTATCGGACACTGGTTAAATTTTCCCCCATGACACTATGTTCGCATCAACAACAACATATATATTCGGCTTTCTATAACTCGGACGACACGCTTTGTGTAGGCCTATATTTAACTTCAGTCTGTCAGAATATATTAGTCTTATAACAACATTTAGGATTTGCTAATAAAAGATGTAGTCTGGCTGATCTTCACATTTCAGCAACAGTAACTTATAATTATATAAGTAGATATAATGTAATGTAAGATAGTTTTGTATAGAATTATATGTTTACTTAATTTAAAAAAAATAAAAAAAATAGCAATCTGGCCGACTTGATGGTGACGATGTAACAAATGTAACATCAACATTTACTAAATGAAACTCTAATGTACGGTTTAACTACCAGCATATCACACGATCCTGACAACACCTATGTGAGACCCTTGCTTTTCTAGATATGATTATGTATCTGTTAATATTTTCTCCCAAAACAAAATGTTTCCCAACTAACAACTGTTCGAACTACCATCATTAGGTGCTATGTATTTTTGCATTTATATGAAACATGTATGCACACAGATCACAGTTTTAAAATATAATAGTATATACTTTTTTAATTTAAAATAAGTATGATGCTATAAAATATTCACGGTTTTAAAGATAGAAAAATAGATTACCTATATTTACCCCGTATTTTTCCTAAAACGGTTTAATTCTTTATTATGACGAATTAGATAGCGATTATTATGCAAGTTTATTAATGTTATTTCCCTTGTATAGTTTAAGTTAAAGAAATTGCATCCGATATGCAAGTTTTGATTTGTGTTAAAAAGTGATATTAAAAAAAAAAAAAACAAGCCCCAAAATAACTCAACAATAGACTGCCAACAAGCAGAGCAGATAAATAACAAACAGCAAATAATTTTCTTTTCAGCCAAACAAGAGAATCGGGAATAGACGTTACTGCATTTTTTATTTTTTTTAAATTTCTTTTTTAAACACAGTTTGAGTAATTAAGAATAAACCATGGGTGATTAAAGAACCGTAAAAACGACCTAAAATTGATCAGCTGACTGTGATTGTGAGGTATGTTTCACCAGATGATGAGCTACCCGTTACACGTTTTTTTAACTTCCCTAGACATGGGTAGCTACACGGGGGAATGTATGGCTGAGGTTGTGTACAACTACCTTTATAATGTGGAGAAAATATGTTTTAATAAGTGTTGGATAATATTGCTGCCAGTGCCACTATTCTCTACATGATGGCTATTTTTTTAATACAATTTACTTTATTATCAGAATCTGACAGTCATAAACTCAAAGATCAAAACTTGTCGATTAAAAACGCGAATTAACTAACAACTGTGGTTTAAATTGTAAAATGAACCATTTCGGTGCATCGA